AAATCCCCTCCTAAGAACACAATATAGACATGAAATCTTTGTCTCAATTCAGACTAATTCAGACTTGTGAAAGAACTTGCAGACTGCGGACCTCTAGTAGGCTCTTGCAGACACATGGACATCTTAAAGACGCTGTATGACTGCAGATTAACCAACACGTCTCAATAAAGGAATTCTGCTTGTTCCGAGTCTCCTGGACTGCGTTCTCTCTTCTTTTCACTCATTTATTTTTTTTTTACAACAACTTGGTGCCGTGTCCCGGATAGAGACAGAAATCATCAAATTCTCAACAATTTGCCACAAAAGACTGAAATCCACCTGGAATTCAACTTGAACCTTCAAGATCAAGGAAACTTCTTCAGACGCAATCTTCAGCTCAACGGCAATTTGAAGTCACTCAGCAGACGTCACAAATTCTCAACTATTTGCTGACTGCAACCCTGATGAACATTGAAGCTACCTGAATACAAAGATCAGATCACTCCAGACTGAATCTTTTCAGCTTAACCTCGATTTGGTGAGTTTCACTCTTTCAAAAGAACCATACAGACCAGTCTATACACATGGTTATTCTCTGCTCCATCAGAGAAAAGTTAACCAACAGCTGCAGGGTTTGTTTAACAAAAAGTTATTCTCTATTTCAATAGAGAAGTAACAGTTTATCCTCTGTTCAGACAGAGAAGTGAAGCCCTACGTGCTATTTTCTTTTAAAAAGTTATCCTCTCTTCAGAGAAGTTAAGCCTTATGCGCTATTTTCTTTTCTTTTATTTTGTTTTCCCTCTGTTCAACCAGATGTGCTAATATTGTTACCCTCTGTTTCGCCAGAGAAGAAATTACTACACTTTCATCTGAAAAGTTTTAGTATTTTTACTTTGTGATAATAAGCTCACAAAATGTTCAGACAGAATACAAGACTGATTACTACAACTGAAAAAGGTGGTTTAACATCTCCTTTATTGTCAGATCAGGATTTCAAATCGCTGCTAAGACAGCACATGGACTCAATAACAGAGTCAGTCAGGCTAAATTTGACAAAGAAGAAGGTCTAAGAGAACTGAGAGTTCACACAACAACACTTCTGTTGTTCAAATTCAAACAGTTTCCAGAACACTAGGACCTAGAGAAATAGACAGACTGTCTCAAAGCTTACCATCAGCACGCACAAATTTTTCAGAGTTTAGCAGAGCACTAATCAGCAAAATACGTCTTTATGACATGTCATTAACAGAAGTCACCCAGCTAATGTCTCAAGTTCTCACTGAATCTGAATTCAACAGTTTTGAGCATACTGTGACCTCTAAATTACAACATGCCAGTAAGGATGATTTGAGAGAGGGTGTTTTGAAAGCTCTAAAGAACATTGTTGGCCCAAAGATTGACTGGTCAAAAGTGACTTGTTGTGTGCAAAGGAAAGATGAATCTGTGAATGAATTCACTGAGAGATTTTGTCAATCCGCCATAACTTACAGTGGATTAGCTGATAATTCGGACAGTGTGCTAAATGATAAGGGACCCTAGTCCGCATCTGGTCAGATGGCCTTGCAACTGAATACAGACAAGCTTTGCCGTTTCTTAACATCACCTGGTCTTCCACCACTCTCAGAAATAATATGAACAGTTTAGCCTTGTGGGAAAGAGACTCTTACATCAAAGACAGAGTCAGATTTGAAGCAGCTGCCACTAAGGTCAACACAGAAAAGACATCAAATCACAAATGTCTTAGGAAAAATATCTGTTGTTATTACTGTGGTAAAAAAGGACATTGGATGAGGGAGTGTAGAAAGAATAAAAAGAACTTTAAAGAGATGAAAAGGGTAAATCAACTTCTGAACAGTTTGCTAAATGCCCTTTACATACCCCTCCCCTCATCACTAAATCCATTGAGCTGTCCACAAAGATGCTAACCATTTTTTGGCTGTAAGTGCTTAATGTCCCAGTTCATTTACAATTAAGATGAAAGACTCTTTGTAAAAAGACACAAAGGAAACTTCTTCCTTTTTATTGGGGAACTCTGCTTAAGTCCACTTACAGCCTTGAATGTGTTTAACACATTTTCCAATCACTACGCATTCAATGTTATGATGTCCGATAGGACTGATATTTATTGAATGATAGTTTGTGTCTTACATTTTAAAGTTTGCCCACCACACTCAGGGACAGAACAGGACACACAAACCAGTGAGGAGCCCAGGGCAGAACTGAAAGCAACAGGCTTCAGGGGCCGCACCCTGTGGTGAAGACTCCCTTTTTCCCCATTTACCCTTACCTCACTGTTTTATAGGTGTCATAACTTTAAGATTAGGAGACAGAAAATACACAACACTATACGATCACCAACTTAACACAACCACTATACAGTCACCTGAATAACTAGACACATGAACTGTATGATCATACAAGTCTATGCATGAATACTGCTGGTCTGCTGTTTCCCTGTTTTCTTGTGTGCAGGTAAACACAAACACTGCATCTTCTCAAGAAACACTCTGAACCAGAGCATCACTACGGAGATCCATGAATGACAGGAAGTCATCAGATCAACTCTGTGCTGGAGAAGAACCACAAGAAACACACCTCACAAAAGACTGAACACTATTCACAAGCCATGGACTTTCAGAAGATCTGCAGTTTAACTACATGATTTTTTGTGTCATCATGTAGGATTTATAAAAATTACAACTGATTGTCATAAACGTGTGAACAGTTTTGAAATCTACACTTACATCTACGTAGATATTGAAATGACACAGAATAAGTTAAATGTGCCTGTAACTTTTCAAGTTACATGACTAGAAGATGGGGCTTCTGTTATCATACAGAAGCCATTGAATGGTTTTAGGAAAGCTTACAAATTTATATTTTTTTTGTGAGAGTTTTTAAATAACTCTCAAAGGGGGAACTGTGGAAATATAAATTTATATCATCTAATTTCAAATTAACAATAATCTACGTATAACTAAAAAGTTATATTCTCTGGTTTTTAATTATATTATTTCATTGACATGCCAGCTAGGAGGGTCATTTAACCTTTGTCTTTCTGATTACAAGCTAAGCCAAAGTAATGCAAATTGTCAGTTTCACAGCATGGGTTGTCTATTGTTTTCTCTTTTCGATCAAATGGTCAGGCGGTTTCTGTCTCCAGAACATGATGAGATCAAAGCCTGAAAAAGCAGTTTACCCTGCCGACCACAACTCTTAATTTGCATGCTTTGTTTAGCCAAATCCCCTCCTCCTAAGAACACAATATAGACATGAAATCTTTGTCTCAATTCAGACTAATTCAGACTTGTGAAAGAACTTGCAGACTGCGGACCTCTAGTAGGCTCTTGCAGACACATGGACATCTTGAAGACGCTGTATGACTGCAGATTAACCAACACGTCTCAATAAAGGAATTCTGCTTGTTCCGAGTCTCCTGGACTGGGTTCTCTCTTCTTTTCACTCATTTATTTTTTTACAACAAAGGGACCCAGGAAAATCTGTTAAGTGTCCTGTAATTAAATGGTCACCCAAAGAGGCTTAGAGCAGACTTACTGGCATCAGTAGTCATAAACTGTCCTGTAGACTGAACCCAGATTTTTCCTTAAAATCAATAAGTAGTTTTAGGGACAAGCCCATTGGTTCTTTTTTTTATTGACATTGGGCTGGCCCAATCACAAACTCCTAGTATTTTGCGCTCTTTGTGAGCATGCATAGTCTGTGTGTATTTGTCAAAATAGTCAAGAGTCAAAGAGAAGAAACGGAAGAGAGGCGCAGAGAAACTGCGGGAAACACACGTTTCATTTAGCTGTTCTGAAAAGTTTTCCGTTCATTCTAGTACATGGCCAAAAACGCAAATCAGGTGACCACACACACTTTGCCAATAGCTGCAGCCAGTAGTCCAGCTGGTGCCTTGAGCATAAACCCCAGGTAGGAGTATAGTGCATGCCGGACAGTTCATAAAAGATCTACTGCTGGATCTCATCTCACTGTAGTTTCTAAACGTGTTATTGAATTCATCTTGTTGTCTCTATCTAACGACTCTATCTTCTGTCTTTTGAATTACTTGTTCTCGGGTAACTCTATTTTGGCTGAGTGCAAAGATAAGTTAAATATTAATTTATGTAACCACGTACAATGATTTTGCACATTGATTGATTGCTTACATTTATCGTATAGCTACATTTATTGTACATTATACTTTTATACTTGATTATTAAAACTGATATTCTGCAAAAGCGACGGGGTAAAGTTTGTTCTTTTCAATGAAAAGGAGGCAGTTATATTTAAGCCCTGTTTTGTTATAAATATGCAGAGTGAAGATGATGCTCATATAAATGTGTAGCTACAAAAGGCTGTTTGGTGTCTGGTAATCATAATATTAAAAATTAAACAAATTTCCTTATATTATGTTTTGATTAGTGAATAGTGTATTGAATAAGTTAAATTGGCTGTAGTGTATGAGTGTGTGTGTGAATGAGTGTGCTTGGATGATTTCCGATACTGGGTTGTGGCTGGAACGGCATCTGCTGCATAAAACAAATGCTGGCAGTTCACTCCACTGTGGCAACCCCTGATAAACAAGGGACTAAGGCAAAGGAAAATACATGAATAAATAGTGTATTTTTTATCACTTAAAAAAAACTTTATGGACAGTATATAAAAATTAAATTGAGATTAATATCTGTATTTATTTATTTAATATATATGGCTTTTTTGTTTTTATAAAATAGGAGTTGACTAAAATATTGGACATGCACAGATAGATAGCATTTTGATTGAATGTAATGGGCCGCTCTGGCCCAAAATGCCAGGGACGATTTTTTTGCCCTAGTCCAGCCCTGGTGACAAATGATACAATGTATAAGATCTTTCATATAATAAAATATAATGAAGTAAATTTATATCGAAATACCAAAAATGGGTTTAAAAATTATATCACCGTTATTAAAAAAGATTCTATTGCGATATATATTGATATTGAATTATTGTCCAGCCCTAGCACAACGTTGAACACTCACCTACAAGGATTGTCACCACTTGGTTGTTGGCGTACTGCTCAATCTCCCTCAGCCACTCAGGAAGGCACCGGAACGAATCTTCGCAGGTGATGTCGTAGGTGAGGATCAGGGCATTGGCACTGCGGTAGTAGCTCTGAGTTATAGAGCGAAATCTTTCTTGACCAGCTGTGTCCCAAATCTGGAGCTGTGGGAATTAGCCCATGCAATAATCAGTAAAATCTAGCAGAGACTACACAGACTACCAATATAAGTACAGCCCAATTAGCAGAAAGGTGACTAAAATATGCAAAATGCCCAGAGGACCCCACAGACAAAAAAAAAATAAATAAATAAATAAATTAGGCAAACTTTAGTCACCTTTCTGCTTAAAATATAATTTAATATACAGTCGAAATTATTAGCCCTAATGTGAAATTTAAGCTTTTTAAACTTTTCCTAAGTACTGTTTAACAGAGAACAATCTATAAAACTTTAATCAAAATAGGTTAACTAAGAATTTAGGCAAGTCATGTGTGTGTGTGCATGTATGTGTGTGTTTGTGTACTGTATGTGTAAAAATGGCTTAGATCAATATTGATAGACCCTTTTCAAGGCAGTGTATCCATACTTCTGCCAACACAGCACTACCCAAAAATGTACACAGTCACATGAATATTTACTACAGATATGGTTAGATGATGACTACGGCTGTTTTCTGTTGTCTGCATACAAAGCTAGACATCAGTGCCCAGTTGCATGAAAACCCTTAAGCTAAGATATCCTTTAGTTATAAGGTTAAGTGAACCCTTAGTAAAAAAAAAAAAAAAAAAAAAACCTAGACTTAAGACTGTCATTGAGTTTCCCCCTTAATTAAGTTCTAAGTAGCAACTCATTCATTCATTGATTCATTTTCTTTTCGGCTTTGTCCCCTTTTTAAGCTGGGGTCACCACAGCAGAATGAACTGCCAACTTATCCAGCATATGTTTTACACAGCGGATGCCCTTCCAGCTGCAACCAATCACTGGGAAACATCCATACACACTCATTTACACACATACACTAGGGACAATTTAGCTTACCCAATTCACCTGTACCAAATATTTTTGGACTTGTGGAGGAAACGGCAGCACCCGGAGGAAACCCACAGCAACACGGGGAGAACATGCAAATTCCACACAGAAATGCCAACTGACCCAGCCGGGGCTCAAACTAGCTACTGTCTTGCTGTGAGGCGATTGTGCTACCCACTGCGCCACCGCGCTACCCCTAAGTAGCAACTACTTTTACTTAATAAATTTAATGGACCCAAACAGCTCCCTTAAGTCCATTTTAAACTCAAATGCTATGGCTAAATATGTTTTAATAGAAGAAGAGAAAGTGCCAAGGCGCATTTTCACTGAACCAATCCATTGGAGAAGATGAATGATGTGCAGCTATTGAGGGGAATATCACTACCGCCAGTAAATCATTCCAGAAAAATATAAAACAAGGGCTTTCTTTTGGAGGACAGTGGTTAAACCTGTCGTTCATGTCTTGTCATTCAGGAGAGACTGAAGATGAACATGTTTTGACTATCATAGAGTTTAAAAAAAATTCCCCATTTTGAACAGTTAAAAATAGTGTTTTGGACATTTCATATGCTGCAAAACAGTTGCAGAATGACATCTGTAACAAAACATTTAAAGTATTTTAAATAGCCACTTAAGAGCTGTCCACATATGTGGCCACTAAGCCCTAGGAGGTTAAGGTGAAGATAAACAAATTTTGTTTGTGGAAGAGTCCTGGATCCGCATATTGCGTCTGTGGACACAGTTTATTTTAATCAACTGGATCTCTTCTTAAAGATCCTATTTTGGTGAAGCTCTCTTAAAGAACCCTTAAAAGAAACAATTTTTTAAAGAAGCTTTCAACCTCTATATGTGGTGCATTAATAAAAACAAAAATACAGTGATAGTATAGTTAAAATTTCAGGCCTTCTCTTTGATATTTGCAGGAATATTTAAAGAAACAATTTTGTCCATTCATCAAAAGGTTTTGAAAGAGCAGTGGAAATGTTAAGCTTAGTTTTTTTCTTAGGGTACTTGTAGGAATTATTCAGGAAAAAGTTTATATTTTGGGACTGATTTTGCTGCAAGAATTGAGTTCTCGACTGGATGCTAATTTAGTAGCCACTATTTTAATTTTGCAAGTAACATAGCCTTCTGATCTAAGATAGAAATGTTAGGGATATTTTAGGCTTGACTCCTTTTCTGGATTGTTCAGGAAGTGTTAAAGAATTATCCTGGTCCAATCACTAAAAAAATGCAGAAGCAGAGCTTAATCCATTTTCAGGTGTGATTGTAGAGATTGAAAAATAACACATTAGTACATTTAGCCGTAAAAAGAAAACAAAAAGTTAAGGCCTGATATTGCTGCAAGAATTAGAAATTTGCAAAAGAATTGGTAAGCTTGTCGCCTGAGGATGAAGACATAAACCACCGTTCATAAACACCGTAGTCAATATTAAATAGGCACAATTTCTATAGGCAGTTTGACAATTCCTTCGAAATATATATATTTTTTGAATTACACGTTTCCCTTTTCTCTTTTGTGTGTTTGCACGATTCCCAGCGATCCAGAGAATGACCAGAGACATAGAACACTGCAACAAATGCCTAGCTGAACACATCTAAAATGGAATGCAAGTTTCACCATGACCTCTTATTCTGTCACAGCATGGTGTTTTCACACCTCTAGTTTGAAAAGTCAGCAAAGTGGGTGTATCCAGCTTTGTTTAGATGGGAGTGTCGAGTGACAAAAGTAGGAAGGGTTTGCATAAAAAGGGGAGTTTAATTACGTGCACTACAGATGTTTACACTGGCAACATAAACACAAATGCAGGGTAGATAAACAGTAATTCAGAGAGCAGCAATTACAGCAGATCTGAGACATGTGTGGAGGTGGAGGATTTTCAGTCCATAACATTTTAGTGATATTACTATAAATTTAGTAACTATGGATGCACAATACATCAGCGGCCATATCGTTATTGGACGATAAATGCTATTTTTAGTGTTATTGTTATCAGTCCAATGTCAAAATCGCATCAGGAAAAATATTACATGTGTAAACATAATAGCAGCGATGCACACATGCTAAACAACTCGTTGGGTTGTTTGTAATCTAATGTGATTATTTTATATTATCAACGTGTTGCTTGCATTGTGTTATTAAAATAAGATAATATTCAGTTTTATTGGCATATTTATAATGATTTCAACAAACGTGTGTGATGGCTTTCAGCATGCAAACACATATGACTCTATTTTAACGATCTAGATGCAAAGTCTAAAGCGCAGGGTGCAATAGCATTAAGGGTGTGTCTGAACCCATCTTTGCAATTTTAAGAATGGAAAAATTTGCTTTGCGCCTCAGTCTAAAAAGGTTGTTCAGGGTTGATTTTTAGTCTCTTCCCTTTTCACAAAATATACTATGCTTAAAAAAGTTACAAATATACATTGCACAATACAAATAAACATAATTTTAGTGTGTATTTCAACAAATTAACATCCATATTGTGTTTGTGCCTTTATAAAGATTTTCATGGTAAGGTTTACTGTCGTCATTTCATTTAGGTAAACACCCGAGAAGGGTTTGGTATCAAAATCTTATGCCATTATATCATCGGTACGTCTGTAACCGGTGTGCTCCGGACCGAATCAGCATATGAATTTTGGAGCCTAATTTCGGTGCCACTGGTGCTGCGACAAGGACGTAAGAAGCATCAAGGGGTACATCAAAGGCACACATAGGTACGCGTTGACACACTCTTTACTCTCTAAACATTTAATTCTAAACAATACGGTCAGGAGTTCGGACAGGCAATGTCAGTCGTTTTTTCTTGTTGCTTAGGGAACGAATGCACGCAACGCACACATTACAGCGCATTCCATGAGCAAGAGTGACTCTTTTCAGAACAACACGCATGATTGCATTCATCCAATTTGCTTAAACTAAGCGTTCTAAAGCATATTTTACAAGCAAGGATTCTGACACAACAACGTGAAGCAGATGCTTTACAAAAGTTGCGTGTAAGGGGGAAATAAGTCAAACTTAATGACACATTTGAGGAATCATGGAATCAACTTAAAGGCGGAGGAATGAGCTGTCTCTGAAAGCCTGCAACATCATCTGGCACTTTCAATCAGTTCGTATATGCATGTACAATCATTAATATGATTAAGACAATACTCTGATTAAGACTCTAGACTATCATGTAAACTGTGATTACCCTAAAGGACCACCAGGGCTAGCGCGTCCATACAGGTGACCTAGGGTGGCAGTATAGAGAGGGCGGTGTACGCAACACCCCCCTTACCACCCTCAGTTATGTCCGCGACACCTCCCTTACCACCCGCATCCTCAGATATATTCGCGCATAGGCGACAAAATAAAGAGGGCAGCGTCAGCGACACCTCCATCAGCACCCGCGTGTCCTCAGTTATTTCCGCGCATAGGGCGGCAGAATAGAGAGGGCAGCGTCCGCGACACCTCCCTCCCTCCCTCCCTCCCTCAGCAACTGCGCGTCCTCAGTTATATCCAAGCATAGGGCGGCAGAATATAGGCCCGCGACACCTCACTTCATTTTCATAACCGGTCACTTTTGTTTTCACATTGGGGTTGTTGGGCGGCGTGATCATCCTCTGCCTAGAGCGGCAGTTCAGCTTGCTCCAGCACTGAGGACCACAGATACCTGTGTCGTGAAATGCGGAGGTTTTTCTATTCAACATGCGGTATCAAATTCCATTAAAAGAGCACTCTTCCACCAGTCCTTAATGCTTGCATCAAATAACTGTTTGTAATGGGGTCATGAATGAAATGTTTCTGAATGAAATTGAAACTGCAGTTAAAGTTGAACAAATAAGAATACACCTGAAATTACTTGAAACTCTGGAGAAAACATGGATAGCGTGGTGACACAATGACATTAATCATCTATGTACTATAATATGTAAGACAGGATCATAAAAGGAAGATTCAAAAAGCAACTAATGTAAACACCTTAATCATATTATTGTCTTATTCAGATTAAGGCAAATCATTAGATTAATGATAACCATGTAAACACAGTCAAAATGCCCCAACCCGAGTTTAGTATTTTGACAACATCCTTTTAACTTATTAGTAGTAAGCTAATATAATTTCATAATGCAAATTTCAAATTC